CCTCTCCAACCCCCCCCACCCCTTCCCCCAACTCCCCTTTATATCCCCCACCCTACCCCCCCCCCTCCCATCAACCTTCCCCCCGGTCACCTAGTGAAGGCGGGGTGCCCCGATGACAGGAGGGTTCCTAGTAACGGGAGGGTGCCCTATGACAGGGGGGTGTCCTGATGACGGAGGGTTCCGATCAGGGGGGTGTCCTAGTGACAGGCGGGTGCCCCGATGAAGCGGGTGTCTTGTGAAAGGGCGGATGTCCTGAGACAGGAGGGGTCCTATGACAGGCGGGTGCCCGATGACAGGCGGGGTCCTATGCCCAGGGGGGGTGCCAAAAGACGGGTTCCAGTGACAGGGGGTGTCCTGATGACAGAGGGGTCCCTAGTGACAGGGGGGTGTCCTAGTGACAGCGGGTGTCCTGAGACGGGAGGGGGTCCTAGTGACGGGCGGGTGTCCTGATGAAGAAGGGTGTCCTATGACGGGCGGGTTTCCTAGTGACAGGGGGGTTTTTTTCCTAAACGCGGGGTCGTGATGACAGGGGGGTGTCCTATGACAGGCGGGTTTCCTAGAACAGTGGGTGTCGTGATGAAGGGGGTGTCCAAGTGACAGGCGGTGTCCCCTTAGTAACAGGCGGGTTGTCATGATGACAGGTGGAGTCCCTAGTGACAGGTGGGTTTGCCTAGTAAACAGGCGGTGTTGTGATGACAGGCGGGTGTCCTAGTGACAGGCGAGTGTCCTAGTGACAGGCGGATGTCCTGAATGACAGGAGGGTGTCCTGATGACCGGCGGTGTCCTGATGACAATGCACTCAGTGCCCAGGGCTCTCACTTTGCTCCCATATCTCTTCCTCTGCACAGCTGGGTTGCGGATCCATGCGGTGGGAAGGCTTGGTGCCGAATGCCGGGGTCAGGACGGTGAGAGGTCTCCGCGCAGCAGAATGAAGATACCGAGACAAAGGAAATAGTAGTATGTGCACATAAAACTGGAGATTGAATAACTGCACTCCACCTATCGCGCTTAAATAGAATATTCAGCAAACACAAAATAGCTATAACAGACATTCACGCGTATGAGTTATCTAAAATATGTGCTCACCAAAATCACTCTTTTTTTTTTTTTTTTTTTTTTCTAGATTGGGGAACATGTCACAGGGACAACATGAACAGACCCCACCAGATGGGACCGGGAGGGAAAGTCTTCAAAGAATGAGACAGAGTGGGAGAAGGCTGGAACCACTGGCAGATTCTCATTGCTTTCTGGTGTCCCTGTTGCAGATTTTTTCTTCACTTCCTGTCTGGTGAAACCGTTGTCACCCATCTCAGGAAGTGAGGAGAAATCACAGAGCTCCACATAGATAGATATTCAACAGAGGTCCTAATTATCCAAAACAAAAAAAAAAAATTTTTTCCAAATCCTTGCCACCTAATATCCAAAGGTGACCTTGCAGTGTACCCAGGGCTGTGGATAGGTGGGTATCACCAGTCCTCCTGTATGGGACCAAGGGCCAACAGGGGGGGCCAAGCAGCTGTGTGTCCCCACCCCCACAATGCTGATGGGCTCCCCTCTTTTTTTCTTCCCACCTGAAGCTGCAAGCACACTTCAGGATGGAGAGTGGGGGAAATGTCTGGTAAATATGTCACATTTTCCAGCACCTTCCTTTCCTGAATGAACACAATGAGTGATCGGTACTGATCACTCACTGTGTTCATTCATAACCAAAGCCTAGTAAACTTTTGTGGGATTTTTTTTTTTTTAGGGTGTCCTGTCAGGTTGGCTGTATGGGGCCCCATGGTTTCTAACAGCAGCCCCGAGTTTACTCACGCTGGAAACTCAATACATAACGTTTGGGGTCGGCTTCTATTGGCGACCTCAGTGTGGTACTCTCTTGGATGGCTGAGGGTCCCATCACATTGTTGACGGACAATGACAGGCCGTTTTTAACTTGCATCATGGCTACACTTGTTACACTTTTGTACAATTAGAATGAATCTCTTTATTGCCATCCTGCTCTGTTTATACCCCTGAGGAAAGAGAATTGCCTGAAACGCGTCTGATTTCCAACGGGTGTGAATGTCCAGTGAAACAACAATACCAGGTTCTCTTTTTATCAGTTAACACTTCTTCATTCTCTTCAAATGCAGCCATTACATTGTGATTTTTATGGAGCTGACAAATTTGTAGTATTTTATTGTATTAGAATAAAGCTTTTTTTGTATTTTACCTCAGTATTTCATCTGTTGCCCTTAAAGTCCCGTGTCTAAATATTGGGGGTCTTCTGATCTCTCCAAAAGAAGATCAGTGTCCCCTATCAGTGCCAGTCAGTGCCGCCTATCAGTGCCAGTCAGTGCCGCCTATCAGTGCTATATATCAGTGCCATATATCAGTGTCATGTATCAGTGCTGCCTTTCAGTGCCCATCAGTGATGCCTGTCGATGCCCATCAGTGCCACCTATCAGTGCCTCCTCATCAGTGCCCATCAGTGCCACCTATCAGTGTCCATCAGTGCAGCCTATCAGTGCCCATCACTGCAGCCTCATTAGCGCACATCGTTGAAGGAGAAAAATCACTAATTTACAAAAATTGTATAACAAAAACTAAGAAAAAACTTTTTTTTTTTTCAAAATTTTCAGTGGTTTTTGGTTTGTTTTAAGAAAAAAATAAAAATCCCAGAGGTGATTAAATACCACCAAAAGAAAGCTCTATCTGTCACAAAAAAATGATAAAAATTTCATATGGGTACAGTGTTGCATGACTGCGCAATTGTCATTCAAAGTGTGACAGCGCTGAAAGCTGGAAATTGGCCTGTAAGGAAGGGGGTAGAAGTGCCCTGTAGGCGAGGGGTAGGAAGGGGGTAGAAGTGCCCTGTAGGCGAGGGGCAGGAAGGGGGTAGAAGTGCCCTGTAGGCGAGGGGCAGGAAGGGGTAGAAGTGCCCTGTAGGCGAGGGTTAAAGAGAATACATAAAAATAATAGTAATATTTTCGCCATGTAGAACAAGTGCATTTGTGTGTTGAGCAGTAGGAGGCGCTGTGCTCCTTATCACTACAGTCATTGACGCATGAAATAAATAGGGAGTAGTTTTGACTATTTTGATTATAATATGTACTATGTAGATCACAGGCTTCATAATGTCAGCAATGCCAAACTGCGGGTTCTATAGAGGCATGGAGGAGATCAGCTATGAGGAAAGATTAGAGGAACTGAATTTATTCTCTCGAGAAGAGGAGATTAAGGGGGGATATGATCTCCATGTACTAATACATAAGGGGGATATGATCTCTATGTATAGATACATAAGGGGGGATATGATCTCCATGTATAATTCATAAGGGGGGACATAAGGATGATCTCCATTATAATACATAAGGAGGGGATATGATCTCCATGTATAATACATAAGGTTGATATCCTATCACCCATGTATAATTACATAAGGTGGGGGATATGATCTCCATGTATAATACATAAGGGGGGATATGATCTCCATGTAGTTAATACATAAGACGGGGGATATGATCTCCATGTATAATACCATAAGCAGGGGGGATTGAATCTCCATGTATACATAATAAAAAAAAAAAAACATAAGTGGGGATATGATCACCATGTTATAATATATAAAGGGGATATGATCACCATGTATAATACTATAATGGGGGATATGATGCTCCATGTTATAATACATAAGGGGGGACAATATGATCTCCATGTAATATACATACCAAAGGGGATATGATCACCAATGTGCGCAATAATATATAAGGGGGGAAATGATCACCATGTATAATACATAAGGGGGGATATGATCTCCATGTAAATACATAAGGGGGATATGATCTCTCCATGTATAATATATAAGGGGGATATGATCTCCATGTATAATACATAAGAGGGGGATATGATCTCCATGTATAATACATAAGGGGGGATATGATCTCCATGTATAATACATAAGGGGGGATATGATCTCCATGTATACATACATAAGGGGGATATGATCTCCATGTATAATACATAAGGGGGATATGATCACCATGTATAATATATAAGGGGGATATGATCACCATGTATAATACAATAAGGGGGGATATGATCTCCATGTATAATACATAAGGGGGAAATGATCAACATGTATAATACATAAGGGGGGATATGATCTCCATGTATAATACATAATGGGGGATATGATCTCCATGTATAATACATAAGAGGGGGGATATGATCTCCATGTAAAAATACATAAGGGGATATGATCACCATGTATAATACATAAGAGGGGATATGATCACCATGTATTAATACATAAGGGGGGATATGATCTCCATGTATAATACATAAGGGGGGGAAATGATCAACATGTATAATACATAAGGGGGATATGATCTCCATGTATAATACATAAGGGGGGATATGATCTCCATGTATAATATATAAAGGGGGATATGATCACCATGTATAATACATAAGGGGGATATGATTTCCATGTATAATACATAAATAAGGGGGATATGATCTCCATGTATAATACATAAGGGGGGATATGATCTCCATGTAATAATACATAAGGGGGGATATGATCACCATGTATAATACATAAGGGGGGGAAATGATCACCATGTATAATACATAAGGGGGATATGATCTCCATGTATAATACATAAGGGCGGGGATATGATCTCCATGTATAATACATAAGGGGGGATATGATCTCCATGTATAATACATAAGGGGGATATGATCACCATGTATAAAACATAAGGGGGGATATGATCTCCATGTATAATACATAATGGGGGGGATATGATCTCCATGTATAATACATAAGGGGGTATGATCAACAATGTATAATACATAAGGGGGATATGATCACCATGTATAATACATCAGGGGGGATATGATCTCCATGTATAATACATAGGGGGGATATGATCTCCATGTATAATACATAAGGGGGGAAATGATCTCCCAATGTATAATACATAAGGGGGGATATGATCTCCATGTATAATACATAAGGGGGATATGATCTCCATGTATAATACATAGTGGGGGATATGATATCCATGTATATAATACATAAGGGAGGATATGATCTCCATGTATAATACATAAGGGGGGATATGATCTCCATGTTATAATACATAAGGGGGGAAATGATCTCCAAGTATAATACATAAGGGGGATATGATCTCCATGTATAATACATAAGGGGGGATATGATCTCCATGTATAATACATAAGGGGGATATGATCTCCATGTATAATACATAAGGGGGGATATGATCTCCATGTATAATACATAGGGGGATATGAATCCATGTATAATACATAAGGGGGGATATGATATCCATGTATAATACATAAGGGGGGATATGATCTCCATGTATAATACATAAGGGGGGATATGATCTCCATGTATAATACATAAGGGGGGATATGATATCCATGTATAATACATAAGGGGGATATGATCTCCATGTATAATACATAAGGGGGATATGATCTCCATGTATAATACATAAGGGGGATATGATCTCCATGTATAATACATAAGGGGGGATATGATATCCATGTATAATACATAAGGGGGGATATGATCTCCATGTATAATACATAAGGGGGATGATGATCTCCATGTATAATACATAAGGGGGATATGATCTCCATGTATAATACATAAGGGGGGATATGATCTCCATGTATAATACATAAGGGGGGATATGATCTCCATGTATAATACATAAGGGGGGATATGATCTCCATGTATAATACATAGGGGGATATGATCTCCATGTATAATACATAAGGGGGGATATGATCTCCATGTATAATACATAAGGGGGGATATGATCACCATGTATAATACATAAGGGGGGGATATGATCTCCATGTATAATACATAAGGGGGGATATGATCTCCATGTATAAAATACATAAGGGGGGATATGATATCCATGTATAAAACATAGGGGGGGGATATACATAATACATAAGGGGGGATATGATCTCCATGTATAATACATAAGGGGGGATATGATCTCCATGTATAATACATAAGGGGGATATGATCTCCATGTATAATATACATAAGGGGGGGTATAATACATAAGGGGGATATGATCTCCATGTATAATACATAAGGGGGGATATGATATCCATGTATAATACATAAGGGGGATATGATCTCCATGTATAATACATAAGGGGGGATATGATATCCATGTATAATACATAAGGGGGGATATGATCTCCATGTATAATACATAAGGGGGGATATGATCTCCATGTATAATACATAAGGGGGATATGATCTCCATGTATAATACATAAGGGGGGATATGATCTCCATGTATAATACATAAGGGGGGATATGATCTCCATGTATAATACATAAGGGGGGATATGATCTCCATGTATAATACATAAGGGGGGATATGATCTCCATGTATAATACATAAGGGGGATATGATCTCCATGTATAATACATAAGGGAGGATATGATCTCCATGTATAATACATAAGGGGGGATATGATATCCATGTATAATACATAAGGGGGGATATGATCTCCATGTATAATACATAAGGGGGGGATATGATCACCATGTATAATACATAAGGGGGATATGATCTCCATGTATAATACATAAGGGGGGATATGATCTCCATGTATAATACATAAGGGGGGATATGATCTCCATGTATAATACATAAGGGGGATATGATCTCCATGTATAATACATAAGGGGAGATATGATCTCCATGTATAATACATAATGGGGGATATGATCTCCCATGTATAATACATAAGGGGGGATATGATCTCCATGTATAATACATAAGGGTGGATATGATCTCCATGTATAATACATAAGTGGGGATATGATCTCCATGTATAATACATAAGGGGGGATATGATCTCCATGTATAATACATAAGGGGGGATATGATCTCCATGTATAATACATAAGGGGGATATGATCTCCATGTATAATGCATAAGGGGGGATTTGATCTCCATGTATAATACATAAGGGGGAGATATGATCTCCATGTATAATACATAAGGGGGGATATGATCTCCATGTATAATACATAAGGGGGGATATGATCTCCATGTATAATACATAAGGGGGGTAATGATCTCCATGTATAATACTTAAGGGGGATATGATCTCCATGTATAAATACATAAGGGAGGATATGATCTCCATGTATAATATTGATCCAGGGAATATCTGATTGCCTCTCGGGGGTTCAGGATGGAATTTTATTCCCCTGCAGGAGCAAATTGGATCGTGTTTTGCTGGTTTTTTTTGCCTTCCTCTGGATCAGCTGTGGGTGTAGGGTTATAACTTTTTTTTTTTTGGTTGAACTGGATGGTCTTTTGTCTTTTTTTCATCCAGACTAACTATGTCACTATGTAACTATATTTCCAATCCCTTTAATTAGTTAGTATATCTAAGCTCTGACAATGTTGATGTGATTATATATAATAATAATTTATAAATTAGTTATATAAATTAATATTAGCTATAATAATAACAATAAACACAATGCTCAAAGAAGCAAACTTCTTTATATATAAACAA